CGACACGATTTGTGGCACAGTTTGTTTAAGAGTGAGCAATAACTCCGGGTCAATGTTCTAAAGAACCACAGGCGATGCAAGTCGATCGAAAAAAAAACAATTTTTTTAAATCACTGTGGAATTTAATAACCCATAGCACCGAAAAATGCTGCAGGAAATTAAGAAATTAAAATAATTTAAAAATTCCTTGTTATTTGACGGCAAAAATATAGGAGTCTAAGGAATCGAATATGTCTAATTTGAATAATACTTGAAGCAAAAAACGCCTACAATAGGGACATTTTCAAAAAGAATATGGGTGGGGCTCTATGAAATAATACTGACAAGTGGAATGAGACCCAAACTTAGAGTAGGACTTACTAGAGTTGGGTCGCGAGTACATTTACGAGGAATTTCATCGCCAACAAAGTGATTCGGACGCATGCGGCCAGTGCCGCTGAGGCAATTAGAGACCACCAGGTCAAAGCGAACATCAACCTGTGAGATAGTGACAAAACTGACATTCAACAGAACGAAAGGCAAAAACGAAAGAACACCACTAATAGCACCTGCACTTACAATTGGCGGTCTTGCCGACGAGGAGAAGGGTTGAAGATTTGTTAAAAGGTAAACATGGCTGCATACCTCAAAGCGCAATATGCTAGTGTCGATTTACGTTCACATCTATGTGACCTCAGAATGTACCAGAATACAGTTGTATACGTGAATAAGTTCGACCATCGGTTTCGATGAGGTCCACCACATGCCCAAGAGCAGAGATGGTGAAAGTAGACGAGCAGCCATCTACCCCACCCTAAACCCTCTCCCCGCTGAAATCGGTGACAAGACAAAGTCGAGATGATAGAGCAGGAATCGGGCGTAAGCCGCTTTCTTGAATGCAGGCCAGAAACACCGTCTAATTTAGTCTTTAGTGACAGTAGCCTTTTCCGGTAGTACTACTGCACAACCCACCCTCACTCACCTTCAGCAGGTGTCGAGAAAAGCTCAAAGAGACCGAATTTCCTGTACTCCAACTACTGTTTATACTGCTGCTTCTAGCGGTGTATCTGAGTGATTGTAGTCCTGGTACTATTACTGACGCTAATATTTGGTTAGAAATGACACTGATTGGAGTCAGATTAGTTGTATACGTATGCCTGCATACCAATATGAGTTTAATCATAGTTGCAGAGGAAGGGTGCGGTTATTTGGTGCGATTGGACTGCTGTAAATATCGCTTCGAAATTAACTGGTATAGGCTTCTAGTGCACTTATCGCATGTAAAAACTAATGATGCCTGCTCAAGGCGTTACTGATACCTTAATTAATACCTTCACTATATTCCTCCGCATCGTTTTCATACAGGAGTATCACTTCTGTAAAACACTCGCCATACACTCTTCGGGGGTGATAGGAAAGACGATATGTCCATCCCCCCTTACTTTTCGCACATGCTGGCGCCCCAGTTAGCTTTTGCATACTAATTTTGATGTGTAGCAGATGTAATGCTATATCAGGACGCTCGCGCAATGCGTTGCATCAAGATAAGCTGTCTCACCAAAGAGTTTTAGCCCTTCCCCTTAATGCCTCTTTTGATATTAGGAGGCGAAAGTACAACCTTCGAGCAAACAAACTGTCAAAACTGATTTGTGGTATCAATAGTACCTCTTCTACCAGGCTACCTCCATTAAGTAAAATTTAAGGGAAGGAAAACGGCGCAAAATACTCTTATTGGAGCCTCACTAATGTTCAGAACTGTGGATAGGAAGTAGCAATACATGGCGCTCAGTTCGCTCTTATACTTTAGGAAAGTAAATTTATGCTGACCATTTCGGAGCAGGATCTCATGTCCATTAGTGCATCTTTCTTTTAATATGAGATACTAGGAAATTTTTTCCTCTGATACAGAGTGGCTGACAAGCTTTCCGTGGCAACTTGCATGACATTCGATTACAGCATGCGGCAATGGTAGGAACAATTACTCGCATGCAAGCACTTGAATCCTTTTACCTCTCAGCATGACTAAGCTTCCGCATACCATAGGAAGCCAGGTTACTGTGCACTCAATGGCAGGGAAATTAAGTCTAATGTTAAGGTAAGCGTTAAGATAAGGCTAGGTTAAGATTGAAATGTGGGTCTAGTTTTAAAATTTACATTAGCGTTAATGGGAAAGCTAGAGCCAGAACACGGGAATTGATACTCCTCCCGTTTTACTAATGGAGGGGTTACAATTTCCGTATCTAACTTCGTCATTTTGTCAACCTCAAATCGTTTTTGAAGCCCTCTCTGTGCTTCACATTTCTGAAGTATGCCTAAGATGACTCAGCGTTTAACGCCTATAACCGTCGTAATAGTTAGTAGAGGCCTCCGTCCTCTTCCCTTTTCAAAACTCGATCCAACCCCATAATTGACTTCCCAATAAGGAAGACGCGTACTCTTTCAGTCTAGTATTCAGTAGTCCCACTGATTTTTGGGAAATATCTTTTCACGTCCTAACAATATTATTATATGTATTACTGAATATATTGTACTGGTTAGTAATGGCTCAAACGCTTGGTATATTTGGTTTCTGTAATCTGCAAATAATCTACACACATTGGTACTGGTTCTGAAACCTCGCGGTCTCTGCCTAGGTATTCTCACTTGAAGCGTGAAGGCTAGTAATCGCACGACATAAATACCTGCTTGTAGGTGTATTTCCACTTGCTCCTGCAACCTAATGTCTGCTTTCCCCAAAAAATACGCTCCGACTGACATGAGACTCATCAACCAAAAACAAACGCTGTGATACTCCGTAAAACTCTAGGCGAGTCGCCTTTGCCCTTTTAAAATCCCGGGAAAATAAGGCGTCAATCGCCCCAAATTTTCTACTGGAGTCATTTTGAATCCTATCATGAACACTGATCAGACAGCTGCCATGCCTATTATGCACAAATTGCCATCTACTAAGTAATATATCACCGAAAAAATCTTACAAAAATCAAACCCAACTCCAGGCAAACCTTACCTCAGCCATGCTATAAAAGGAAATCGCAGAGCCACGCATTAGGTAAGGTACAAAATCGTGCTCTTGAGTGAAAAAGTTGCCACTAAGGGGATGGACCAAGCGATCAATTGGCTGAGCTGCGAAGGCTACCAAGAGCACATTGGAGAAGTCCTCGGCGTTGCGTTTTTGTCGAGACCACTGGGGTACTTCTGGGGAGTTCTCTACCAGGGACTGGCGCTCGCGGGCCAATATGGAGCCCACGGTTCCACGTGTTGCCATGTGCAGTGCGTTAAAAATCTAGAAACCAAACGGTAGATGGTAGATCAAGGAACTTGAAGAGATCCCAAAAAAATGATATCTCTCGAAATTACTACCACGTACTTAAGAGGTGGGCAATATAAAGAAGTAAATATATTCGCCGTAAACTGCCTTGATTGTGATACGCATTAAAGTAAGACGTCTTATGATTCAAGTAGCAGCCCAGGCTTTCGTGAACCAAAGAATTAGTAATTATGAGCTTTGCTAAAAGCTAGGCATCTCTAATTCGATTTTCGATGGAGACCACCTCGAGCTTCGAAAACATGATAAGAGGAAGCCGAGACTTAATTGGACGTCTGCTGCAACTACCGCGAAGCAGCGGCAATAGAGAACCGGACAATGAATATTAGGAGAGTTATGGCGGAGGTTATAGAGTTGAAGACCTCGTGAAACTATTTTCTGTTTCGGGTAGATTCAAGAGGAAATTCTCAGAAGGCTTTGCTCTAAATAGGGTGCTTGAAGGGATGCTTTGAGACACATGTTTTGGGTTATATGACCATATAACGCAGATCGAGGCATAAGATTAAGATAAGAAGGGTTTTTAATTCACGATCGGAGGGAGCTGAAGCTACAACGGACAGGTCCGTTATCAAAAATTTCACATGAAATGTCCGCACCCAGGGTAAATAATGAAGTCAACCGGATTGCGACGACAGTGCTTACACAAGACTGCAGACAGAAACACAAACCATGACTCATAACTTTTCGTTAGGCCAACCCTCTTGATAATTACGGCGCAGCAAAATACTGCAATAGGATAAGCTGTGATATTAGGCCTGCCGTTAAAAACGTTTTTTCTGTCGACAGTTATGCCTAACAAATGCGGAGACGGGCACGAAGTCTTGACAAGCAATTGAGTTTATTGGATATATTTGTAGTTCTCCTCCAGTTTGTATAAACAAATCTGATCTGGAAACGTACACCTGAGAGAAAATATAAAGACTCAGACACGGTTGTCGCACAAACACACTTCAATTATGGGTGCAGTAACGTCCCGCAAATAATATCTTCGCCGCCGGATACCGTTTCATTTTGCGCGGTTTTAAAACCGGCTTTCCTTTGGAGTCGCATTTGAATTTTAGGTTGTTTAGGAAGTTTTAAGGCCAGAAAGGTTTATGCTTAAGAGGAAGGCTGACGGTATGAGCATAACAATATAATGAAGCAGATAGGCTCCTTGGTACCGACCAAGCAGTTCCGTTAACAATTCCGTTCTGACGATTGTGGTAACCACCGTTAGGTTTCCGGCTCCCGGTGTAAAGTTTATACCGCGCAGTGGTTTTCCACTGAGCATATACCTAAAAATGTAAGTCGTTATATTTAAGAGTAATTCCTACGCGCAGCTTCTCGAAAAGGTCAGGCCCACCTATCGTTAACTTTAGGGTGGCAGACCACATAGGTCATAGTTCACGCTTCACAGGATTTGTCTTGATGTAAGTCCTCCTCTGTATCTCCCATGATCACTTCTTATTCAAACCAATAATTATGAATCGATCTAGGTCTGCACATCTGCTTTGCGACCGAGAGTAACCTGATATCGAATCCTGACGCTGAATACTGTGGCCTAGTAGATACCAATGCTGCAGAACGCATCCTCCGGTGCCTTTCGTGTATCTAAAGGCTGCACAATTCTGCAGTCTCGTGCCGATCGCTCGAAGTTCAGTGTTCGCCGCTGCCCGGTTGCATAGATGAATAAAGCTATCTTGTACTTGATACGGCTGTGATCATGCCTGATCTAGCCGGCCTCAATGATGTCGGTACCTTTCCATGCGTCATTAGCGGCAACGGATCTCGAAAACTCCACCTATTCTCTTCTTCAGAGACGTAGACCGAAAATCGAAGGTCCAAGAACCACTTAAGCAAGCTATCTTTAAATAAGTAAGCGCACTTATGCTGCAGTCCCGAAGTCTACTTCCAGGACAATATGTGTGTTTTAACGCGGCGTTTTCGATCGAGACATCAGGTTTTTTCAAAACCTTTAGGCCTCAGCATAAACCTGCACACCCTCGTGTGCGTAGGAGCATGCTGCACGAACGAAAGATGCAGTACTACACATGCTCGTCAGCCCAGTTCACTGGCTTACTCACTGAAGTGCGAGAAGGTTCCATAAGGCATGCGCTGGGCTGGACCGTCAGGAAATGCAGACCCGGCGCAAGACTCTGAATCAGGCTTCTCGCGGACCCCGCAGTCGCCACTTAGTTAATACGTCACCACCGTAGCCACAATGGCCTTCTGGAGGCGTCGACCGCCACACAGGCCCATC